TATAAAAAAAGATTATTTCTTAGTCCAGTCTTATACAAACTCACTATATAAGATACTCTACATGAACGATTTGGATCAAATTATTTGTAACGGTTATAAAGTGGGTTGTATCAATAGTGTTAACCGGATAAGGCACACAACCTTTTCCATATACTATAGACCTTTTAGGTTATTATTTGAACACGATCCTCTTGTATACTGTTCAAGATTACATTAATAACCTTAAATTTTCATACCATGGATAACAATTAAATTACAAATAAAATAATAAAATTTATTATTAAAAACTAAATAATTAATTACAAGAATTTAGGACATAAATTCTAACCGGTTTGTCCTTTGATTTGCTAGGATAAGACTTTTGTAATAGATTCAATATGCCTACAATTTTGGGGACTTGGATCAATTAGGGAATTGAGAAAATAATGTCACTCGATGAACTTTACTCATTCCCATACTGGAAAAGTAGATGAGTAGTTCCATTGGGTGCTTGTAACGACCCTAAATTTCAGCTACTTAAAGTCGCTACCGTCATCTTAATCTAAGCTCGTATGTGAAATATAACTCTTAAAACATGTCGCTATCGCTACTAGGCACGTGTCGTCATACATCTAACAAATGTCTAGCCTATCTTATAGTAAGACCACTTACTTGTTTGGCCTTAACCGGTGTTTCTTTAAGTTCGTGTTTGCTAAGCTTTCGTTCCTCCAAACTGCTCCAAATATCATTGGGGATCATTTCCTATTAGGTCGCCATCGTCTTTCGTTAGTACTTTACAATTTTAGTGTAAATCCAACTTAAGTTCGTGAAATAAGGCATTATAAGGACATCGATTACCTTATTTAGAGTCAAAATCAGCTGGAAAAGAGTGAAATAAATGTAAGGATGGGTGTTAAAATTGTTAGACCGAGCCGATTGAGCCATTTTTTAGTTGAAGGACTGCATGGAGACAAGCCGAGCTGAGTCGTGTAAGCCGAGGGATTCTTTTTGCTACATATCGACACGTGGCTAAATAGAAGAGGAACACGTCGTGGCTTATTTCTCAGGTCGAGGCACGGGTTCGGGTCAAATGAAGCGGGTGCGTGGGTCGCAGTTGCTGCAGGAGTGGGCTGAAACGGCTATTGGGCTGCTGCAATGACTCTCGGGCTAGAAGCGTCGCGGGTTGGATTAAGGCTGACAGATATAAACTGGTGGGCTGCGGGCGTTCGTTCGACACAAATTAAACTTTGACTTTTATGTTCAAGTCATAAAGTCAAAGGAGATAAAGTAACTAGCTAAAGACCTCCAGAATTCTCTCCATATTTATTCAACATAAATTTAATTAACATTCAGAGTTTTGTTTAATTTTTTTTTAAATCCAAATGGGTTCCTTTTTTCATTGGTCTTTGATTCCTACCAACTATTTGATTTCAATTTTTAGCACATTTTCGAACATCGTCTTAGTCAACATAGGACCTCTTAATCTCTATCTAAGCAAGGTTTTGATAGAAGCATTAATCGAAGTATACCTCTAGAACTGTTTGAACTGCCCTCGTTGTTTAATAGTGAAGAGGTGGGTGGACAGGTGTTGCGAGTCGTGATTTTGCTTATGAACTCGCAATAAAGGCATGCACAAGATCCTAAAACAAGCCAAAGACACCTGCTCTTGCTGCCCATTATATCATCTCATGTACATTATGCTATCGTGGAAATTCATAGTCAAGTTGTAGGTCTTGACATGCTTGATTTTATTCATGCTACCGTCGTATTCTTCGATCTCTCTGAACTTGAACTTCTAGTTTAACCTAATAAATAAAAGTAAAAAAATTTATTTATTTGCTTACCAATTCTTTTGGATAAGATTTCTACGAGTATAAAAAAATGAGGCGAAAGACTATTGAACCATCTATTACCTAAAGGAGTGGCTCAAAACAGGACAATCTTAAGATTCTCCTAATTAACTAGAAAATGAGAGGCTTTAAACCCCTTGTTTTCTAACAGTCAACCTCAATGTGTTTGATTGAGCAAGGGTTCAATTTCTAATGTTGCTGACTATCACAAAAGTTAATGCTATTAAGACTTTTATATTAGACGAACCTCAGTGACAAAAAAAAAAAAAAACAAAAATTAAATGATTAACTTTTTTTAATGTCATGTAAAAATTTAAATCACTTTCTAATTAAAATTAATTATTAAAAAGATGATTTCTGGCGACCTCTCACGATTTCTTCAAATTCTTTCACTAATTTACAAATTTGATTCATCCATTTTGTATATGAAGAAATATAATTGACAAAAGTTGACTGAATTTTGTGAATCAAACCTAACAAAATCCTAGAAATTTCCAAACATTTGGATTTTTTATTATTATTAGTGTGGGTTTCCTATTTTGTGACATTATTTTAATTTGCCAAATTCATCAATTTATTTGCGCCCTCAACGGCGATATTTGGAGCATAAACTAACTTTACCCCCACCCCTACACATCATCACTTCCACACAAACTCTTTTTTTTTTTTTTTTCTTTTTATATATAAAAAAAAGGAAATTATTTCCTAAGTTTCTCCATTTTTATAAATATAATTTTTAAATAATTAATAAAAAAATAATTTAGGTAGAAAATAGAGAGTGAGATTTGGTCTAAATCGATTTAAAATTTAAAATTAGTTAAAAGATTTTTCAAATTCAAATTAAGAATAGAAAAGTAGTAATAAGGCGGCGGTGTAGAGAGGCGATGGTCAAAAGAAAGCGGTTGTTATAAGCGGCGAGTGGCGTTTCCGTATGGACGTGTGTCTTGCATTTGGGTCCCACGCGCATTTACAGCTTACGCGCTCTTCATTTACCACGTGCTCCCCTTCCCTCACACGTATTCTCTTCCATTCCAATGGTAACTAATACTATTTTTTTAAAATTATTTTATTATTATTTTTTATTAGTAAATTTTTAACATAATGTATAATATAATGAAATAAAATAAGGATGAAAATTGAAAGGTTGAAATACATTACCAAAATGAAGAAAAGAGAGTGGGGTTGAAAGTAAAAGTAAATAAATGAAAATTTACGGCAGCCGTTACTATATATTAACCCCTTTTCTGTCTCTCCTTCTCCCAAACCCTCAATTCTTTTTCTCTCTGTTTTTGTTTGTTTCTCTGCAACTCTCCAACTCTCTCCAACCATCTCCCATGGGGAATTATATTTCTTGCTCCTTGGCCACGCCGTTGATCAAGAATTTCAAGGCGGTTAGGGTCGTGCTTCCAGGCGGCGAGGTCCGTCAGTTCCGGGAGTCGGTGAACGCGGCGGAGCTAATGCTCGAATGTCCTACTTACTTTCTCGCCAACGCCCAGTCTCTCCACATCGGCCGCAGATTCTCCGCACTCGCCGCCGACGAGGAGTTGGAGTTTGGTAACGTTTATCTCATGTTTCCGATGAAGAGAGTTAATTCCGTTGTCACGGCGGCGGATTTAGCCACCTTCTTCATGGCGGCTAACTCTGCGGCCAGGCGGATTTCGGCCGCTAAGGTTAGGGTTATACATGAGAATCGGAATCGAGAATCCGCGGAATCGAGGCCGAGAATTAGCGATGAAAATAACGGACCGAGATTGAGCTTGGAAGGAATCGAGGGATTTCCGATGCATCGATTGTCAGTTTGTCGATCCAGGAAGCCATTGTTGGAGACGATTAAAGAAGAGCATATTAGAAGATAGGAAGATTTCGATACTTCAATTTTTTGATCGGATCTCGAATTTTGAAGAACACGATTTCGGTGTGCGGATTGAAAAGTCCGTTCGTCTGAAATTTCATTGGGCGCGCCTGGTTTCATCAGACGGAGTCCAACCTCAAGTTGTTCCGAGGATGAAACGGCGTCGTACTTATGCCTACCCTTTCCATTCTTATTTTTTTACCTGAAATTGAAATAAAGTTTATGACAGTAAATTGCCAGTTTACTGTGGTTGTGAAAAAAATAATGATCTATTTTTATAATAATTATGTGTGGAGATGAAATATTTTGAGATTATTTTATTTCTATAGCATTATCTATATTTTCTTAGACATACATTTTATGTGGCTAAAGAAATAAAATAAAAAATAGATAAGTTGGTAATTATAACAAAATGTTAGAAACTGATTATATTAATATCAAGTGGAGGAGTAACTATCGTGTTTTTATAGACATACATTTTATTAATGTGTATTAATTAACAAGTAAATAAATATAATAGAAAAATAAAGAATATAAGGGTTACTAGAAGGAATATTATATTATATACTAGGGTTACAAGAGCAAGATCAAAGGTAAAAGCAAAGCGAAGAGAGCGTATGCTCAAGTGAACAATATTCGAGTGTATGCTCAAGTGAACAATATTATACTATTGTGGAGAGTCGTGTTGTTCGTCTAACAATTCAGGCATGATATCGTATCCAAGGAGATTAGTTCAGGTCATGATATCGTATCCAAGTAGATTAGTTTAGGCATGAGATCATAACCAAGTAGATTACTTACAACATTATTGAGGGTATTAAAAGACTACTTCTAGTGCACGGAGAGTCTCTTATGATTGACTCACTAACGAGAGCAAGTTGCACAAGCTCTTCTGACTGATTTACCTATCTATATCTTAGTTAGCGAGAGTGGGAGTAGTTGCACAAGTCTCTTATGACGGTTGCACAAGCTCTTATGACTGATTTACCTATCTATATCTTAGTTAGCCAGTCAAGCGAGAGTGGGAGTAGTTGCACAAGTCTCTTATGACTGATTCACCTATCTATATCTTAATTAGCCAGCCAAGCGGGGGCGGGAGCGGGAGCAGTTGCAGATTTAAAAATTTTATTTAGATTAAATGCAGTCAATACATTGCCAATTCTATCTCCACAAAAGTCAATCCACACGACCAAACTTGTGATTACAATTTTTAAAAAAAAGAAAATTGTTCAAAGGATTACTCCAAGCATGAACACGAGCAATGGACCCAGTTGTAAGGTGAACAATATTTATTTATCTATGGACTAAGATGCTACAAGTTCGAGCCGTAAGAAAAGTTGATATTCATTCATTCATTTCTTTTCTGTACAAAGAATTTCTAACACAAACCAATCATTTAATAAACTAAACTGCATAACAACTTCAAACATCTGTACACATCCTTTCTTCACAAATTTCTATATTTTCTATCATATTTACTTCACAATCTCACTTTCCACCATATTTACTTCAACCTGCCAAAGGCTACATACAGCTACAGCCACGTATCCCCCCATACCAACACCATTCTTCAGCTCGCAATCCAATTTCTCAGACCTTCTGCTGCTATGAAACTGACCGAACGCGGATAATGTAAGGCTGAGGTTGGGACGATACGGATGTCGAACTCCTAACTATGCTGCTGGTTGAATGAATGGATGAACTAGAAGATGTAGCCAGCTGATCATAATCATCCAAACACAAGAAACCATTAATACAATAGAGTTATCACTGAGAGGATGGCATGAAAATGTCTGTTAATTGTATACGAACACTTACGAGAAGTCGACGACGATGAACTGCAGAGACTACTTTCAACATAACGTATATTGGTAGAACGATCAGTAAACTTCGCAGGCAAATCGACTGTCATTGAAAGGGAATAATTTAACTTCGTGCACAAATCTTGGTTTTGCATTTGTTTGAAAGTAGAGATTTCTCACCAGAAGTAGAGGGAAAGAGTAACCACCGCTTTCATTGAATATGAGGGGAAGAGTGTGCCTCAAAACCAGAAGAACCATGAACTACAAAGAAAAAGAGAAACATGTGGTTCAGATTTTGATATTCCCCTAACACGAACTTAAACACGTGTTATTTCGAAAACATCTTATGATCACCATTACAAAAATTGTGCGTTTGGAAAGAACTTCATGTGTCAAGGGAGAAAGAAAACTTACAACAATAGCAAAGGAATGGAAGCATAGCACGCTGGTTGCAGCAGAAGCTGAGAACTCATCATATTCGGTATCAACAACATTACGGTTTGAAGAAACCATTGCTATATAGCTAGAACTATCCAAGTTCCTTCTAGAAATCTCCCAGTTCCCCCTGCAATGGAATAGGGGTCAATCATTCTCAAGTTGAAGCAGAAAGAACATACATTGTATGCATTGTTGTACGAGCATTACCTGAAGCTCATTGGAATACGCCCCATTTCGAATAATGGAGGAGATGCTGTGTAACCTGGTTTGAATTGCTGCAAATCATAGTTACACGGTTCAGTTTAGGTGTACAAACTGCATTAAACATAATGATCTTCTCGGGCCAAAAAAGACAATCATGCTAGAGATTGTAATCTTGCGTCAATGAACTGCTTCAATTTGTTTTACTATTATGATTTTAAGGAGGAAAGAAATAAAAAACACCATACTCCACCTGGCGGCATATCTCACAAATTGTATCACCCTTTTCGTTACACCACTTCTGTATGCATCTTCGATGTGCATACTGCAAAATTCAACGGAACATGTCAAGAAAACTTGCATTATCATATCAGAAGCGCTGGCATACTAAATGATTAAACTCTTGAGGCACTACACGTTGAAAGGAGATATATAATTGATACAGAAATCAAGAGCAGCTCAGTTTGACAACATGGGTTGTGTTTGAGGTGTGAACTGCATTAGAATGACAACTACGGCAGATATCAATGTGCTAGCTTTCCAAAAGTGCAAAGGAGTTTATCACTAGGCTTCATATTTGCAATAAAATGCTAGACAAGAACAAGATCAGCTATACTTGGCATGCAATGACTTAATATGGAAATTTGGCCAATTTAATTCAATGAGTTCATCAACAAACCTTAAGGCTGCCACAGCACGAGCAAGGTGTTTCCATGTTCGAGTCTTCATCTTCATCCTGGCATATTCTACATTCCACAATTTTCTTTGGAAATGGTATATTGTCAAACTCCATTTCTGGGCAAGAACTGTCCCCCTTCAAACCATCCATGGCATGCTTTTGGCTCTCAATCGCTGCTTCTAATGTCGTCTCCGTCAACAATCGATCAACCAGCAAAACAAAGTGATCCCCCATATCAGGAAAAAGAGATTTTACAATCTTTAAACTGACCAAATACCATATAGATACAAGAAATCAAGGCTTAGTTCTTTCCAGTGAATGGGTTTATGTTGTAGATTACAAGTGTAAAGATTATATAAGATGTGGAGGCAATGAAAAAAGTAGATAAATGAGAGTACCGGCTACAACAAACAAAGACTACAGGGGATACCCATGGCTATATGTTAGTTGAAAACCCCACCAACCACCAATAACCTTCCTAACAGAAACCCAGGAAAGAAACATAGGCAAAACTTTAGAACAAGAAAAGGGTTGAATGAAAGAAAGAAGACAAGGGAAAAAAGAAAAACACCCAAAACAGAAAAGGTAAGAAGAAACACAAAAGAATCAAAAACAGGAAACAGGAATATAACAAAAGGGAAACCAATAAAGAAAGGAAAGAAAAGAGGAAGAAACTTACAAGGAGGGGATGGAATCTTGTTGAAGCAAAGAAAGCTGGTGACCCCTGTTTTCCCCCTCCGATGTTTCTGAAGGAAATTAGCCGAAGATTTCGGGAAGAAGGTAAAATGGGTGGGTGTGACACATGGATGAATGTATTCCAAGCTTTGTGGCATCAAGAGAAGAAGAAAATGAAGCTATGAAAATGGGTTTGTGGCCATGTTTCTCAGCTTGTCATTTCCTCAAACACTTCGCGTGCGTGCGTTATATTGCTAGAAATTTTCGCATATAAGTTAAGCGGCAAAACTTAGAGAGAGGAAGAGGGGCCGCCATGATTGTTGTTCTCTCTATCCTTTTCACCTCACCGTTTTGCGGTTTTAAGCTGCATCATTGCATGAGGTCATCAATGGGTTTAAAGAATGGGCCTTACAAAACATCAATAAACCACCATTTCAATTTGAGATGCCTTGTTTATAATGAGTATTAACACATTTCAGCGTGGTCGATCTCAAGAATTTTTGTTCCCACGCCAGCTTTAAAATGAAGCAGTTTGGATTTTTCGCTCATTTTTTCTTGTATTTTTTTTTTCCATACAAAGGTAGAAAATGATTCAATACGATAAAAAAAAAAAAAAAATTTAGGTCGTATTGTAATAAGTTGTATATATAAAGGAACAATTTTGTGCGTATATATTTATTACGCTCTAAGAGTGGAGTATACGAATGAATTTAGACCGAAGCCGAACAATAGTGATCGGGAGGATATGCAGTTAGAGTTAAGAAATACTTTAAATAATTGATAGTTATTACTTATATCAATCGGTGGCTCAATAAAACAAACTCCAAAGTTAAGTATGCTTAGGTTAAAAACTATCGCTATGTGCCATAGAATGCTAGTTACGGTTTCCATAGATTATGAGTTAATTTTTTTGCGTATTTTGGTCCTAGTACCTAGTTATGAGCTCCACCGCTTCCTTGAGTTGACCAGGTACCTTGTAGGAATTGATAGGGTGCAAACCCTATTCGTGAACTAACCAACAGAGGTTAGGGTCTACTTGTTATACATGGCTTAGTTGTTACCCATAAAGGATTTCAGGAGTCATGGAAGATATACTACTGAAGTACTATCAGTGGTGCCTAGTGGGGAGTGTTATGACATTTTTACTGTCCCAGCCTGAGTGGCGTAATGACCGGTAGTTTTACTATTATAGCTTGAAAATGCAAAGTAACAAGTGGTTACTGTTCCTAAAACATGTAGTTTTACTGTTTTAATTCAAGGAGGGTACATGAGTATATAGTTTATTGTTTTAGTCGGGAAAGACATATTGACAGGTAGTTTACTAATTTTGGACACCACTAGAGAGAATCCACTAATTAGAGGTCAATAGGTAGATATGTTTGGAATACGGTCATTACTTAAGAGCTAAAGGGCTTCTCCAGAGTTATGAGTATTACCCTAGGGCCTTTCCATGGGCCATAGCAACTCGAGGCGTACTTTGTGCAAGTCTGACGAAGGACCTAGACATATGTGAACCTAGAGTCAAGAGAAAACATAAAACCCTTAGGTTGTGAACCTAAGAGGGATTGAGTACTCCTTAAAGGATATGCGTGAGTGTTAGTTACACAATGACCTATAAAGTTATGTGCAAACGTTAAGCCACACTTTGGTTATCGCTAGGGACAATTATGAGTACAAAGCCTAAGTTTTCAGGTATAAGATTAAGTTTGAAAAGAGCCTACAAGTAAGTTAATTGCGGAGTATTTTTCTACTCACTCCATGTTATACTCTTTTTTAATATGGAGTGTAAACCACCGTTGATGGCAGGAGCAAGTGGAGCCGATCAGTTGTAGGGGTTGCCATGTAGAACAAGTCGTATTCGTTCTTGTCATTCTATTATTATTTTAAATGCTACTTCTCGAAACTTATGTTATTTTTAGTAAACCATTCTGATTCGACTCCGTGAACATTATCGTTGAACTATTTTTACATTGATATTGAATGCTTATTAAATTTAAAATTCCTCGTGCACAAAAGTAAATTTATCGCACTTTTTACCCTTAGTATATGTGGTGAGCAGTGATCGAGGTGTAAAAAATCAGGTCGTTAGAGATGCATACATGTTGTAAGGGTATTTTAAATAAACTTTTTTTACACCTAATGTCATGCATACCGTAACAACCTTATTTTTAATAGGAAAATAGTACAAAATATTATTTTAAAATAAAATAAAAAATAATCTTATAAAATTAAATCATTCTAAATTTTGTATTGAAAATAGTGGGGTCTTTTTTTATAAAAAAAATTTGCAAGTATTATACCAAGATTAAGTGTTATACACAATCAAATCTGAATCAAATGAGAAAAATTTAAGATAATTTCTATTTTGTTTTTTAAAATAAACATTTTTAAATTTAATTTGGGTATAATATTTTAATTAATCAGTTTGGTAATTATACATTTGATGGTTTAAATATCGAATCTCCACCATGTATGATATTATACACTTTAAACATAAACTCTAGTAGCTTTGCTTTTGGTTTTACCAAAAGCACCGATGGAGAGAGTATTGTTTGAGTATAAACCCATTTCCTAAATTAGTGGATACACGGATGGAGATGGATACACGGAAGGAGAGAGTATTCTTTGACTATAAACCCATTTCCTAAATTAATCTTAGTGGGACTTTCATCCAACAAGTAGAACTTGATCATTGATTATTGACTGAGCTCAAGTTTTTATATTGAACTGAGGTATTGAACGAGATAAAGTATATGCCCTCGACCAAAAATTCATGACATTTGCATACCGAAGTCTCAAATTTGGTAGCATCCCAAGCCCTAAAACGACTCATCGAAGTGTTTCAAGCAAACAAAGAGGAAGAAAAAGAGATGGAGAAAAGTGCAGCAAAACTGAGAGAAAATGGGCAGATTCTATAAGTTATTAGTATTGAAAGACAACATGACATGACATGACAAACATTCAAACATTAGACTGCCCCTGTTCCTAAATTGAATAACTCAGCTCAACTAATCTCTCAAACCATGATGCAAAATCTATGTCAAAATCAAACCCACAGTGACCCTCTTTGATTGTGACTCTCTGTTTCAAGATTATGTAATCAAAGGGATTCATTCATCTATGAAACCCAAATCTCTTCTACTACAACAAATTATCCAGATTTCTAAAATTCTATCACGTTTTGATTCAATCTAAGCTTAGACCCTTTGTGGGTTCCTATTGATCTAATTCCTTGTTCTTTATTGTAATCCCTAGCTCCCCTGCAACAATCACGGTGGTAGCCATGTCAAGAAACATACCGTGTTCCACCACTCCAGCCAGCCGCAAGATTCTGTCACTCGCCACCTTCAAATCGCCGATAGCTTTCTTGAAATACAAATCCACAATGTAGTTCCCATTGTCCGTCACATAGGGCTCACCATCGTCTCCGACAGCCCGAAGCTTCGCGACGCAATCGGTGTCTTCAAAGAGATTCTGAAGGCGAACGGCCGTGAATTTCCAGCAATACGGCACAACCTCAACAGGCATTGCGAGCCCACTTCCACCGATGTACTCAACGAGTTTGGATTCGTCGACGATGACTATGAACTTTTTACAAACACATTCCACCATTTTCTCACGGAGGAGGGAACCGCCTCTGCCTTTCACCAAATTGAGATGGGGATCGACCTCGTCGGCGCCGTCGATGGCGAGATCGATGACGGGATGCGAATCGAGATCGGACAAAGGGATTCCTAAGGAAAAGGCTTGGTCGTAGGTTTTCTTGGAGGTGGGTATTCCGACGATGTCCTTGAGAGTCCCCTGTCGGAGAAGTTCGGCAATCCGGTCGACGGCGTGCTTGGCTGTGGAGCCGGTTCCGAGGCCGAGAACCATACCGGATTGAACAAACTCGACGGCCTTGTAGGCGGCAGCCTTTTTGTAATCGTCCTGAGAGAAAATGGGCTGGGAGAGGGGGACGGAAGAAGGAAGAAGAAGAGCGGCGGCCATGGGGGGGGTGTCGGACCCCATGAAATTTGGGAGATAAGGAATGGCCATTGCTGTGGAGAAATGAGAGGAATGGAATCAAAAGGGAAGGAGGGGTATCATGGGGGAGAGTCCAAATTGAAAGAGGGATTGGATTAATGGAAGAAATTGAAGAAGAACAAGAATCTAGGAGTGTAATTGAAGGAGGGAATGTGTGGCGGAGAAGATTGGAAGCGATGCAGAGCAGGGATAGGGTTAAGAAGTGGACGGTGTTTGGTTCTCTCGGGAAAATGGGCTCTTATAAGCCCCAAAACGCGGTGGTCCTCTGGATTTCAACTCTCTGCTTTTGGCGCTTTCACGCCGTGGGATACACATTCGATTCAACCAATTTATGTTCGATCCATTACAATATTTTCGTTTGTTTTTCATCAGCATCCAGACGTTCAAACTCCGAGATCAAATTATGAGTTCACATTACGACATATAAGTTCATCCTTTGTGAGATTTGTGTACTTAATGTTTGGTAAAATGTCAAGTTCATCCCTGAAATTGCAAACTTTAAATTTATGCGCATATTCCCAAATCAATGGTTCACAGCTGATGAATGCACATAAAAATATTAAATTAAAATTATGATATTTTGACCTAAAAGTTCAAAAAAAAAAAAAAAACTTTATGGGGAAAGGTGAGAGATAAAAAGGAGAAGAATAAAAGGGATAAAATTATTAAAAAAATGTATAATATTGGTCTATACATATAGTCTTCCCTCTGTCATAGGAAATATCATTTCTCTATTAATATTTTTTTGGATGGATTTTATTTATGAATTTAAATAAAAATGAATATCTCAATTATTTGAAACCAACTTTAAATTTTAAAAATTAAAAATGAAACATTTAAAAAATTTTAAATCGTCCACGTAGTCCAACACAATTAACAATTTGACGAATAAGCTTGAGTCCATCCTGCCCAATTGAATAACCACTTTGAGTAAAAAATTCAATAATCTTACCATTCCAAGCTCTTAGTGCTTCCTTCAATCCTCGAACAGTTCTTCTAAACTTGCATACGTGGTTAGGATTAGTTGCATTCTCAAATCTCTTTGGTGGGTTGGTTCATGTAGATCTCCTGCTCTAACTTTCTGTGTGCTATAGTCTTCAATTCCTACTTGTCGTGAGTGCTAGCGTAACATGTACTATTGGACTAGTGATGATCTTTTAAACTGTACATGATGGTTGGAGTTAGTTATTTACTAGTCGTGTATTATGTAACAATTTTCTCTTCGAGCCTTCGAATTATGGATAATCATGCATTGAATAAGTGTAACAAAAACTCAACAAAATTTTTCATTTTTAAAACAAGACCACTAGATAGATATGAATTTAAATACAAGTACAGATCCACATAAGTTAAATATATTTTCAAATAAAAAAACATAAGAGGGGTACAAAATCACAACAAAAGACCACTAGAACGAGATGTTGAAGATCTATAGTTTTTCCAGCAGCTGCATGGCTCTCGAGCACTCCCACCAACGATAACTACCTTACGAATCATCTAAAATAGAAAAGAAGCACGGACAAGTATAAATCCTACCTATAAACTCTAATCAAATTCTATGAGACTGACTATTTACGCGTGTCTAGATCATCGACTTTCAAGTTAACCAACTCAATTCTAGGGCTCCAAATGAGCTGCATTGCATCCTTTGGGTTCTTACTGCAATTAGCCTTAAGGCCATAACTCTCTGTTGGTACTTGCTCTATCCATAACTCTCTATGCGTAGTTCTCAACTCCCTTTGAGAACGTTTATTTTCTTAGAGAGTTCTAAATGGCTCTTACGCACACTTAGGGTTAAACTACTAAAATTTTATTGCCCATGTCACTCGCTCAAATGTCGAAGTATTTATGAAGTGCTATCTTTAACTATTCCCAACTCCAGAATTGCTAAAACATTATGAAAAATATTGCTCGAATTGGTCAATTACAAAGGATTAATCGACAACTCTCTAATAGGCCACATAATGTCATCTCAACTACGAAGGGACAACCCTCGTGTCTCTCAAGCTACTACCCTTGTGTGGTCCCTCACCCTTGTAGGTGAACTTTTACCAAGAAAGAGTTGTGGATCCCTTGGTCTTACCCACATGAGGGATCACTATATCCCATCGTATTTCTCGCATAACCTTGCTACTCTATCTCACGAAGGACTATTTTAAATTGCTACATACCCATATCCCTATGATAGGTTCTTAATAAGAGTTACGGGCTTGATTACCAATTCCTACATTATCATAGAACTGGCTACGAGTGATCTCTAAAACTATCGTCACTATACAGGCCCTCGTCCCTCCTCGAAGCTAATTCATAATTAGATGTGAGTTGATAAGCTCTCTAATCATTCCTATATAGAAACTTGCTGAACTACTTAACAGTTATGTAACGACCCGAAATTTTCTACTTAATTTAAGGTCGCTAATGTATACGTACCATTAACATTGAATGCGAAAGACTTCATTTAAATTCTACAAAACATAACCTTTATCTTAAAACACAGCTATGGACTTATGTGTTTCGAAAACATCTTTAAAACGACACAACAAAATAATAAATAAAATAAAATAAGCGTTTAAGTTAAAACATTCTATTCTAGCAAGTCTAAGAAAACAAATACCACTATCCTATGCATATGCCATGGTCTCGAGTTGCGATGCCGTCGTCAGCCGTACAGAAATGTCTTGTCTTAACCTGAAAAATGTAGTAGCACATGACTTGTGTATTTAAAGAAATACTCAGTAAGTGACCCTACTATTAGGGGTTAAATGCAAGAACATGTAAATGCAATGACGGGACCTATCCTTTCAATCTATTTTCCTACGGTGCTGTCCTAACGAGTAATTTGGACATGTACCATATACTCTACACACAGCCCATACGTGCGAGTATGGACTCACTAGGTCAGTTCGCACACCACTGGGCGTCGGGCGAGCATACTCTAGGAGCTCCTTAGGCCGGACACCCGTTAGAACTAGTAACCGTCACTACAACACGATACAAACATAACGATCATTGTCCTGTCTTTGGATGTACGCGTTCGTACCCTCGTGATGGAATAGGGGTATCCCCCCAAATGCATGAGGTCCCCAATATTTCTACTTTTATCATTAATGAATATAACCCCGCTATCATCTTTCATGCTTAACATGTCATTTCTCATTTTTCACTCTTCGTATCATACATAATACTAATCGGGTTACATTTCATTTCATTTATCGTGATATCATGTCATTCATAAGATGTTGTATACATACAATTTAGAAAACATAACATATCGCTCCATGCTTTTAACATGTCATTTCATAACGTGTAATTCATACAACAATTACCTCAATGGTCATACAAAACAATCTAAACATAACACATCACATCACAATATATCGTATCATAAACATAGTGATATCGTAAACACTTCGTTGTTATATCGTTTCCTAACTTATCATAGCCTTAACATTCTTATACATATTACAGTTATATCGTTACGTGAATTTATCTTAGTCATATCATTACAAGAACGTATCTTAACGCTATCGTTCTATCAATCTATCACAAGCATATCCCTTTCTACCCATATCCTAACCATATTCTTTCATCAATCTCCCCATCAGTCCCGTATGTAACCCAACCTTAACGTTTCACGAACGTATCTTACTACTATCGTTACATTTCGTTTTGTGCATCTTTCTTGTATCCTACCTCAAACATATCCTTGAGCACATCGTACCACAATTATTTTCATACAATTCACATATTATAATCTATTCATTTGGGTACTGATATAAATTTAATCTAATATTACTAATATGATGCGATTTACTAGAATTCGTATAAATGATTTAGTTTCTAAATCAAAACTAAATCATTGTAATAATTGAATGAAAATCTAACTCTAATTCGATGTTATTTCTAAAAAAGAAATAGGACAAAAGAAAATGAAGATTTAATATATACCAATTGATCCGATCTATCTTCAAGTAAATCTCTATCCAGTGTCCAATGAATCTCAACTGAATCTCAACAGGGTAAAAGGTCATTCTCTTTTTTTTTTTCTCACGTAAATTTTAAGATGGTTGTTTTTTCTGTTTCTTCTTCTTGCAATATTTTCTGGCCTAAGGATGGGTGGGGAGAGATAATTGTGGGTAAAAGGTCATTCTCATTTTTTTTCTCAGGTAAATCTTACAATTGCATTATTTACATTACGAATACAAGAATGGTACCCAAACCAAACACCTAGTCACTCCAACAAGCTATATGAGACTCTTTTGTATAGGTATTTGGCCTTTGATCTCCATCAAACTCAAAATTGGAAACTTTTCCAAATGAGAGATAATAAACCCTAAGCATCTCAACTTCTTCCATCTCTCTAATAGAATATGTAAATAAAATTTTGTTAAATGGTAATATTAATTCTATCTAAATAATGGTAAATAATATCATATTTGCTCTTTAGCTTTTACTCATAAATCGTCACGTCAATATATTTATTTTACGAAAAAGATATCGTTCAAAATTTCAAAGTTCAAACGTATTTTCATACACAAAATCAAGATATTTTGTACAATTTACCCACCAAATAATTGAAGAAAATAATTGAAGAGCAATTATAGAGAGCCTTTTGATCACATATCACATATAGAGCCTAAGAAGTGAGAAGGGGAAACAAAATCTTCACGCTCAATCTCAAAGTCTAACACATATAGAGCCTAAGAAGTGAGTATCAGAAACTCACATATCACATATCACCAGTTTCTAAACCAAGCTATACAAGCAAAGATAAGGGAGAAGAACATTATTATTCCCTTAAAAATGAAGGCATGATGGTAAGTAAGACAGGGATGAAACAACAATCATCCTTATAAAACAACCTTAAAGTAAACAAAAATATAAAGAGATAGGGAGAGGAGGGCAAATACATGTTCCCAGAACAGCAGAGCTGAGGCCTCCCTCACTGCATATCCCCTCAAGCTCGCAATTGCTCCTACCAATATGGCAGTTGGTGTTGTGTACTGCAATAGAACCACAAATTTGTACATTGGATCACCATGAACTAGAAAGTTCAGCTTATCCGCAGCTACAATGATCCCGATTCCTAGGACAGGAAGGACCAAGAGTCTTGCGATGCTTATACCGATTGTAGTACGCAGGCCGAGTGTCGATGACTCGTTAGGCCCCTCGGCAAGCATACCGCCCAAGATCAACATTACAAAAGGCACCATTGCACCAGCTAAAATTTCTAAACTATTGGAGATGAACAATAGTGGAGCTTCAGAGCCAAAGAAGCATGCTTTGATTTGAGGCACTAAACCAACAATGATGGCTAACAAAGAAGCAATGGTTGGGGGCTGCAGAATGTGCTGTATAGGAGTTTGTTCAGCTACAATTCTTATCTTCCTCACAACTCTCGGTTCGGCCAAACACCGGATCGATTCAGGGTATGTCGGAGTAGTAGAACTATCTCTGGAGTGATCAAGATCAGGAAATGTAGACTGGGAAACATTTGAAATGCTCTTGAAGATCCTAGCAATGAAGGGTGCTTTACAATTCTCAGTTTCTTTTTCTTCAATTCCAGGCCATTCGGCTTCTATCAGGAGTGGCTTACTTACATCATTATCACTACTCTCAACCAATTCTTCAATCTCAGTGCCTTCCTCAACAATCTCATAAAACTCCATTGGAGGCTCCATCATATGATACACAAGAGTATAAGCAAGAATAACAGAAACCCATTGGCAAAAGGAAACATAAGAAACCCCTCTTGAGTGACAATGAGGACCAAAGGGATTATCAGCAGTATGACAAACAGAGCTAACAATGGCAAGAGGGAGATTCCCTGTGTTACCGAACCCAGTTGAGATAATGGTGAATCGGATCAAGTGAGGAGGGGGGCGGCAGAGAATGACCACCAAGAACCCTAGAAAGCATCCAATCCCTGTACTGATCACAACATTTACAGGGATAAACCACCATTTAGCAATGTTGTCAAGCGTAATGCTCTCACCGAGATAGGTGAAGATTAGGCAGGGCAAGAAGAGGGCAAAAACAAGTTTGCTTAGGAGCCTTAAGGTTGCTCTTGGGATCATTTGGATTTTTGGGTGCGCAAGTAATAGCCCTATGGCTGTGAGGGAGAGAAGCTTCATTAATGGCATAATCGCGCTAAGCAGATCTTCACTACTCGACCTGACCTCGTTTTGATCTCCGACACTGAAGTAATCAGCCATCTCGATTTCGGAGAAATTATAGAACAACCAACTGAGTGAAAGAGAAATTGGAAGGTTTATAATCGGAATCTGAAAGCGAAAACAACGAGGAGACAACAAGAACAGAACAACGGAATGGATTTCAGAGGTAATCAGATGAACAGAAGTAGAAACTGCGTTGAAAGATTAAATGGGGGTTTCTAAAATTGTCAGCAAAATTGAAAGCAAGGGAAATAATCAGAAACTGTTGGATTGAAGTAGAGAAGAAAGTAAACTCCGATTGAAGTAGAGAAGAAAGTAAACAGAATCAGAGAGAGTACTCACCGAAGAAGGAGATCCGGGAAGCTTCAATCGCGAGCTGAAGAGGGGAAGAGGGAAAACAAACCACGGAAATTCATAGAAAAATCCAAGGATAAGAGCGCCAAGCTTAGGAAGAAAATATCATAATCACATCGATGGAGGAATCTTTTCCATTATTTTTGAGACTACAATTATTGAGATCAAGTAAATAGTGTTGTAAATTGTAACTAAATTACTCAAAGTCAAAAGTTATAAATTCTTCAGTGATCTATCAAATTTCTCCTCTTTTTTTTTTTCTTCTTCTTCAATTTGAACATCAGGCAAGCTATAAGATGCTCATATTTCTCTGGATACAACATGATCATCCATTTAAAAATACATTACTCTTGCCAAATATTTTCAGATTGAACATGTATTTTTTATTGAACATCAGGAAAAAGAAAAACATGTATTTTTTATTGTGCGAAGAATGAAATGCATTTTTATTTGGAAATTTTATGTCACTACAAATATTTTCAGATTTCACTGGGCCACATCTGGATTTAAGGCCCGGGTATGTTGTCAGAGATGGGTCGAGGCCCAAAGTACCAATCTCATCAGGCCCAAGCTTTTGGGTTCAGCTCACTGAATGTTAAGCCCATCTTAGGGATGAACTCAATACACAAGTTTCTCGAAGGATGAACTCAAAGTATTTAGAATAGTTAGAAGTTTATGTTTGTATGATGACACGTGTCTTATGGTTCTACATGTGTCATATGCTTGATATGTACGACATATTTATGAAATAATATGATATGACTATAATATTATTTGTTAATGTTATGACACGTGTTATGATATGATGTGTTGATGATATGATGCATGTTATGGTGTAGCAGATTTGACATATATGTTTTATGATATAATACGTGCATGATATAATATAATATGTTAAAAGACATGTTAGGTGCATGATATGACATAATACAATGCATGATATGAATGATACATAGTAAACATGTTTTGATACGGTATTAAACCCCGATACATGTTTTAAAGGTTATATTGTAAAATGATATGATATGATATGAACGAAAAATGGAAGGAGTTGATTTACATGGTTTAATAAATGAAAAATGTTGGGACATGAGGTATGTTTATCACAATACTACGACAGTCACTATCCCTACTGGGTGTACAAACAACCAACGAACTAGAAAATGTTAGCCCGATTAGGAAAAGGGTTCAAAAGGTGTGGGTCCACTTGTTTGGCCATGTGCACCTGATCTCATTGGCAACCAAGTTCCCCAATTTTCAAACTTTGCCTTTCCAAGATCATACAACAATTATGATTTAGCCATATTATTTAAATTTCAAAACTTTATGCCTATATAGGGTCCAACATGCCAACTGTCCATGACCCTTTTACAATTTTGAAAATTTTGTGCCAATTATTTAAGAATCCACGTCATCATTTTGTTATATCAACGTCATAACCCTTGTTGTTCCCTCTTCTATTTCATTTTTCTCGTACATTTGTCTCAAACAGGAAGGAATAGGTGTGGACTAAGGGAGGTGGATAACGAACTCTGTGCATGCCTATAATTATTGGGTTGATGTTTACTCTAAAAATGTATTTTTGAAACGAAATACCGATTTATACGTAATAACAATCCATGTCATTTAGATAAGACAGTGAGAACCCCATTAGAGACGAAAGATGAAGAGGACATATTTCTAAACCCCCACCTCCCGACAGTTTGTTACACGTTTTCGATGTGGAAGAATATACCAATAAAATGGGAGTAATTTAGAATAAGTAAAAGAAAGATGCACATAATACTCATGCTCTAATTACAATTCTAGAAACAAAACAAATTGACATTTGAGGACAGAAATTAAAAATCTAGAACAAAGGACAAAATCAAAAAGTCAAAATGTGCATGGAACATAGAAATAACATCCAACCAAACACGAGACTGCCATAAATAGAACCCATCCCAATTTGGCAGTTGAGTTGACTTTTATGACTCGGTCAACCTTCCTGCCATCCCCACAACCCCTAGGCATTTCATTACTTCATCTACCCATATAATAATTTTTTAATATAATATAAAGTATTTAATATATATATATATATAAATGGTCTATGTAAGTAATGTCACATCATCACTTAAAAATATTTAACCAAATTTGTCCAATAGAATTTCGCTTTGTGTAACCAAAATTAGAAAGTTCGATAAAATTGGTTGTCAACATATATATATATATATATATATATATTGTACTTTGGTGACTTACTTTTTACATTTGACCGATTAAACAATATTCTCTTTATGGTTTTGAAAAAAAGAATAGTTTTGTTTATTACCAAATCGTTAATAAGAATAATAATTTTAACATTCATCAATTTAATTTGGCCTGTTTTTTGTTTTTAGAGACCAACTTAAAATATATGTAAGAAGTATACCCGAACTGAATTGAGTTAAATTGGAATAATTTAGTTCACAACCCAATTTAATCTTTTATTTTTAATTTATTTTTATTTTTATTTATTAATGTAACAGATTACTTACTACCCATTACAAACATAAATTATAACTTTAAATATTCTTTAACATTTTTAAAGAGAGATTAGAGTTAGTTTGTAATTTTATTTTTGAGTAGATCGGATGAGTAGAGCTGACCCACTAAAAATATTTGTAACCCATTATAAAAAAAAACAAATCAAGTTTTATTATTAAATTATATAAACATAATATTAAAATGAGAGGAATAAGTTATAATATTTTGAGTGAGTTAACATATAGCATAAAATATGATATAGGAATCTTGTGACCATTACAATTCTGTAATTATTTCTTAAATAATATTTCTTAATTTTTTAAATGACGTAGACAGATTTCAAACTACATAGGAGAGAGAGGGAAAGAATAATAATAATAAAAAAAAGGATTAAAGGAAAATTAGCGGTGATAATTATACATAAAAATATATATATAATTTTTATTTAATTAAAATGGAAACTTGACCGTTTATATTTATAATAACAGAAAGCGATACAAACAATGAGATCTAAGCTGTACAAAGACCAACTACTCCCTAAATTAAAAAAGAAAAAGAAAAAAAATTATAATAGAAAACCAAAACGACGGCGTGTGGATTTCTATGGTATCGGTTGTATGCGCAACAGTTAAGTAAGACGGACTCCGGCGAGAAGCGCGGCGGCGATGTCGATGAAGCGGTGGAGAATGACAGCGGAGGAGAGCGGAACACTGAGAGTAATAAGAAGGAGAATTCCCAAGGAAACGCTAGGCCTGGTGTTCATCAAGTGGGATTGGAGATAGCCCAAAGCCTCACAGATATGTGAATCATAGTCGGAGTAGCAGCGTTTCTCCCAGTCGAGCCAATCGGAAGGGGGTTCGTGGCTCTGCTCGACCATCTTGATTTCGTGGATCCGTTTCCGGAGTACGATCATGCTCTCGTCCACAAGCTTCCCGCTCGCGTAGTAATTGTTGTTGTTATTGTTGCTGCTGCTGCTGTCGGCTCCTCTTGATGAGGCTATTACAGTGAAGAGTGGTAGCCGGCGGCGGCGGCGAGAGGAGGGGGAGATGGGATGGAAGTGGAGGAAGGGAGCGGAATTGGCGGAGGAGATGGATTTCATTTTCGTTTGGGTTTATTGGGGAAACGGAATATTGAGAGGGTATTTATAGGGTTTTATTTATGGACAAGTGGAGGAGATGAAGGAAGAGTTAACTTAACGAGGGATGCAACCATAGGACAGGAGAAACCGTGTAAAAAGCGACGGCTCTGATTTTGTTTGAAACTATGGGTGGATGACACTTGTCATCATCCTCTCATCCCCACCTCTTTTTGTCGTTTCTTAAGGTTTGGGATAACGATAAAAGAGTGGCCAGCTTCATTTATTTTTTAATTATTCTAATAGTAAATACTTAAAATTAACAATCTTTCTTCTTTTTATAAAACTTAAATTTTTATTTTTTATTTAAAGCTATAGTTTTAATATTAGAATGATTAAATTATATTTAAATACTAAAACAAAAATCATTAAAAAAAACTAATAATTTTTTATTTAAATAAAAATTTTATGCAAATATTATTATGAAATATATCTTATATATTATATCTTAATTTTTTTCTTTTATGATTTGATTGGTGGTATATTTTATTTTATTTATAATATTTAATTAATTTATATTTTTCTTATTGATAAGTATTAGTTAATAGCTTGTATCTGTGTCAATGAATTTTAAATATAGCTCATTCTCTTCGACTTGAATTTTAAATATTATAGATATTATAATAAATATATGCTGACGATAATAAAAATAATAGTAATAATAAAAAAAGAAAAAGGTAAACAAGGTGGGAACGAGGGTCCAATGTGATCAAGCGCAAGGATTTCATGTCCCGGTTCCAATTTAGCTCACGAGAATTCTTCTCCCTCCACACCCTCTTTTATTCTCTAGGTACACACGGATTCTCAGCAAGAAAGCCGTATCTCTAATCGCTATTTGGTTAATTATAATATATCTATCTAACAAATTTCACGGTAGATTGTATCATTACATTGATTTATTTGAATGGGTAATTTGGTAATTTCAGTTTGTAATTTTTTTTTTTAAACGAAATAGGTATATTAATTAGTCGGAAATAAACCGAAAATCAACGTTGAAGGGACTTCCATTTAAATTTAACTTTATTGTAAAAAACAAGGAAACTCAAATATTATTATTTTCTTTTTGAAAAAAAAAACTTTTTATATTTATTTTTATTTCAACAACAAAATCTCATGAAATTTCTGCATATTTTAAAAGAAAGTCACACCAAATACTCCACTTTCTTTTTCTTTTTATTATTATTATAAAAAATAAAAAACAAAACGCAATCTAAAATGCTATTTGTCTTTTTGTCTTTTTGTCTTTTTGTTTGTTTTTTTTTTTTTGGACAAATTAGATATTTCTTACATTTTGGCATTTTCTTGTGTAAATGGGAATGAATTATTTTGGCTTACGCGGTTTTAACTATTAATCACTAAAAAAAAAAAAAAAAGAAATTAAATAAATTAAAAATATTTTAATAGATTTTTAGATTATTATAAACAAAAATAAATAATAATTTTAAAAACTGTCTTATACCAATATTCCAATAACACTTTAAAATTAAAAAAGAAAAAAA